TGCAATCAATTCCATCTTCATGCCTAATATATCATGTACGGAGTTACAACTCTAGATTCTACTTACGAGGAAAGGTAACACTAGGCCACCGAAAGCTGAATTTTTAGTTCAGTCTAGGTGGCCGTGTGGTCTAGAGCGCTGGACAGAGTGCAGGCGGTGTTGTCTCGATATCCCAATAGCATGAGTTCGAATCCCGGCCATGGAAGAACAAAGAATTGTTTTCGCAAATTTGCAGATTTAACATTGCTGTGCTGATATTTAGAGTAGTTATGAATATAAAATGTCTTTTCAGCCGTGTATGACCTTCACTGGTGATCCAATCGATGGATCTGTCGTAGAGTTGTCACTTGTTTAGACGTACTTATCAAAAAAATTATTTCTGTGACTGTATCTTACGATCCTTTACGATAGATATTTAGCTAATCTGCAATCAGTTCCATCTTCATGCCTAATATATCATGTACTGTGTTACAACTCTAGATTCTACTGACGAGGAAAGGTAACACTAGGCCATTGAAAGCTGAATTTTTAGTTCAGTCTAGGTGGCCGTGTGGTCTAGAGCGCTGGACACAGTGCCGGCGGTGTTGTCTCGATATCCCAATAGCATGAGTTCGAATCCCGGCGAGGAAAGAACAAAAATTTGCTTCCGCAAATTTGCAGATTTAACATTGTTGTGCTGATATTTAGAGTAGTTATGTATATATATATATATACCATTCTACCAAGAAGTTTGTTTTGCATGCACACGTATAAAAATTGCGGTTTTTATCCAACGCAATCATAGGTTTGAACGTTGGTTTCAATTTAGACTTGTTTATATTTTTTCGTTTGGGCTTGTATTATATTTGCCTTCGGGTTTATATGATCCGTTTATCCTATTTTGACTCTTCAAAATTCAAGAGTCAATCCCAAATTGAGGTAAATTATATGGCCTTCCTAATACCGTTTCGATTCCTAACATCACTGAAGAGACATTAATTGTCGAAATCCGGATATGGTATACAAATTTTTGCACCTCATGTTTGCGGTATACCATCTTTTCCGCAAGTTTACTGTTTTCTGTTTGGTATTTAATTAATAAATTAAGATCCATTTTTACATCTGGTGATCCGTTTATTTGGCAATCGCCATTGCAGTCAGCAGGGTTTAAGAACATCCGTTGTTCGACCTTCTAGTCAAATGCGTTTTGTTAAAATATACTTTTTCACTATTTTTTGTCTTTTAGAAAATATTGTTTGTGCAGTATTTAGACCACTCTACCAAGAAATTTGTTTTGCATGCACACGTATGAAAATTGCGGTTTTTATCCAACGCAATCATAGGTTTGAACGTTGTTTTCAATTTAGACTTATTTATATTTTTTCGTTTGGGCTTGTATTATATTTGCCTTCGGGTTTATATGATCCGTTCATCCTATTTTGACTCTTCAAAATTCAAGAGTCAATTCCAAATTGAGGTAAATTATATGGCCTTCCAAATACCGTTTCGATTCCTAACATCACTGAAGAGACATTAATTGTCGAAATCCGGATATGGTGTACAAATTTTTGCACCTCATGTTTGCGGTATACCATCTTTTCCGCAAGTTTATTGTTTTCTGTTTGGTATTTAATTAATAAATTAAGATCCATTTTTACATCTGGTGATCCGTTTATTTGGCAATCGCCATGGCAGTCAGCAGGGTTTAAGAACATCCGTTGTTCGACCTGCTAGTCAAATGCGTTTTGTTAAAATATACTTTTTCACTATTTTTGGTCTTTTAGAAAATGTTGTTTGTGCTGTATTTAGACCACTCTACCAAGATATTTGTTTTGCATGCACACATATAAAAATTGCGGTTTTCATCCAACGCAATCATAGGTTTGAACGTTGTTTTCAATTTAGACTTGTTTATATTTTTTCGTTTGGGCTTGTATTATATTTGCCATCGGGTTTATATGATCCGTTCATCATATTTTGACTCTTCAAAATTCAAGAGTCAATTCCAAATTGAGGTAAATTATATAGCCTTCCAAATACCGTTTCGATTCCTAACATCACTGAAGAGACATTAATTGTCGAAATCCGGATATGGTGTACAAATTTTTGCACCTCATGTTTGCGGTATACCATCTTTTCCGCAAGTTTATTGTTTTCTGTTTGGTATTTAATTAGTAAATTAAGATCCATTTTTACATCTGGTGATCCATTTATTTGGCATTCGCCATGGCAGTCATCAGGGTTTAAGAACCTCCGTTGTTCGACCTGCTAGTCAAATGCGTTTTGTTAAGCTAGTCAAATGCGTTTTGTTAAACTATACTTTTTCACTATTTTTGGTCTTTTGGAAAATGTTGTTTGTGCTGTATTTAGACCACTCTACCAAGAAATTTGTTTAGCATGCACACGTATAAAAATTGCGGTTTTTATCCAACGCAATCATAGGTTTGAACGTTGTTTTCAATTTAGACTTGTTTATATTTTTTCGTTTGGGCTTGTATTATATTTGCCTTCGGGTTTATATGATCCGTTCATCATATTTTGACTCTTCAAAATTCAAGAGTCAATTCCAAATTGAGGTAAATTATATAGCCTTCCAAATACCGTTTCGATTCCTAACATCACTGAAGAGACATTAATTGTCGAAATCCGGATATGGTGTACAAATTTTTGCACCTCATGTTTGCGGTATACCATCTTTTCCGCAAGTTTATTGTTTTCTGTTTGGTATTTAATTAATAAATTAAGATCCATTTTTACATCTGGTGATCCATTTATTTGGCAATCGCCATGGCAGTCAGCAGGGTTTAAGAACCTCCGTTGTTCGACCTGCTAGTCAAATGCGTTTTGTTAAGCTAGTCAAATGCGTTTTGTTAAACTATACTTTTTCACTATTTTTGGTCTTTTGGAAAATGTTGTTTGTGCTGTATTTAGACCACTCTACCAAGAAATTTGTTTTGCATGCACACGTATAAAAATTGCGGTTTTTATCCAACGCAATCATAGGTTTGAACGTTGTTTTCAATTTAGACTTGTTTATATATATATATATACATATATTCACGGAAGCAAAATTTTACAATTCCAATTTTTACCACAAATTTTTCCTGATTTCCTATTATTTATCAGCTTCAAAATCGTACGAAACTGATTTCTATTCGCACACCACGAGTTTGAAATGGTAAGAAAGGCATGCCAAATATTTTGAAAGCATTTTAGTGGGTAGACCTTGATGACAAAATGTCTTCGTATTTTTTTTTCTCTCATTTACACAAATGAATGGGTAGGGTCCATTCATAATCCATGAATGATTTGGCAAAGTCTTGTTGAAATTCATCATCGCATTTTGTGTTTATGGCAAGTTTTTTTTATCGTACCTTTAAAACCAGTCGAAAACACTAGTAAGCGTACACAGTTGAAATGATATGCACATTTTCCTAGTTGGAATAGCCATGACTGTTTAAATGCCAAGTAGACATATATTAGTTAGAAAATCTGAAAAATCATGGTAATATTTACATCCTGAATGTAAATTAATGGTTGACAGTAAATAAACCTGTCGACAATGTGGAAAGCTTTTAGTTTTTAAACACTGCTGTAAAACATGTTAATCGTTTGATTCCGGACAAAAATTCCTGAAACAATTATTTAATATATAATTTGAAAATCACAAACTTTTATGCAATTTGACCATTTAAAGTTAACAAATATTTAAACAATTAGACATCAGAAATTAGAAAAAGAAAAAAAAAGGAACGAAATTCTGAATTATTCCAGACTGCCTAGTTGAAACATTTTTAGATAATTAAGTGACGATTGTATCGTCCAAAAAAGCAGTTATATTCAGTAAAGGAAGATTAATTAGCCTTCAAAATAATTATATAATTAGAAGATGAGGTGTAATTTTCAATGAGGCAACTTTTTACTAGTGACCAAATGACGTAGAAATTAGGTTGTTTTTTTCCCAAAAACAACAGTCCACCGGTCAATGATTCAATCAATAGACGGCACATTCAATGGTTCCAAACCTAAACAGACAACCATTTACTATTTAAGTACTTTCTTTGTGCTAATGTATGTAATCTGTTAGCATTATCTTGTACTCCCAAGGCTGTTCAGATTAAATTCTCTAGAATATTGTGACTGTATGTGTTTTTGAAAACAATAGACAGACTGTTAAGTACAGCCCTTCGCGCAAAAACTTTATACCTTCATTGTTCTATCAATTTTTTCTAAATTCTACTTTTCCCAACCGTTCAACATTTGATTTATATTATGCTTAGAGTTGATCCATAACACCCTAACAACAGATTTCTTTTTAGAAGCCTTTAGTATATGAACGATAACCTTCTATCTTTGTCAGCATTTGATTTTTGAACATTTTGTTAAAATGAATGAAACGCCTAAATTTAATGCTTATTAGAGTTAAACCTGTCCAATATTCCTAAATTCTTACTCATTCTCGTAACCAAGTATGAACAATCAATATGTTACATAAATGCTAAGTCATTATTTCAATAACTGCAATATTAAAACACACAAATGACTTGCAATGCATTTGTAAGTGTTGTCGCCATTACCTAGGTCAACTGCCATCTGTTTTGATCCATTTTGACAAAGATACCTTAATCTTAGTACAATTACACAATATATGAGTTGTTAGTTGAGACAACATAATTAGTGAATGATAGTACTTTACAGGACCAGTTATACAATTTGGAAAGAAGAATATATAGCAACATATATGCAAAATTTAGTGAGTTTACGTAAAAAGAGCATCTTATATAGAAAGTACAGTAAACCACATTCATGTTTATAGTACGTCTTAAATTTACATACTACGATTGATAAAAATAATGACACACAAAGCGTCATTTTCATCGACAGTCAGAAAGTGTTTTATACGAAAAGTATTCAGATTACTTATATCAAATTTGTATATGATCTATGTGGGCTTCGTATATGCTTAATATATTGATACTAAAACAAAGGTGATACAAATGTCACTCATAATACAAGATTACCTGAAGCAATTGTCCATTCTTTTGTCTGTAAGTCAATTTTGCATCTTCTTACTTGAATATTAATTCCATCAGTGCTTTCAACATTTTGTATGTCTTCATTCAGCAGTCGTCTTAATAGACACGTTTTACCAACACCATTTTCTCCAACAATCATTATTCTAATGTAATATCTTACAGCGATACCAGTTTTAGCTGCCTTCAAAAACATACTTCTGTCATGCATAGACATCTTTTTTACAGCATCTGGCATTTCTGTATATATAATACAAGTTTGTATACATGCTTGTTTTCTGTTTTAAATTGTTCATATTATTTAAATGCGAGAAAAAAATTGTTGCATGAATTTGAGCGTGCTTAAATATGTGCCAAATTGTAAGTCATTAAACAAAAAAGCGATATTACAGCCTTATTGAAATTGAAGAAAACAATTTAGACTAAACATTAAAAATTGAAAAGTCACCTCCGGATAAAAAAAATATAAAACAATATTTCACGCTGGAAGTTGTGCAACAGAATTTTTGTTATAAATAATTGATTTGCTTACCTTGCTTGATAGAAAGATATTAGTCAGGCTAGTAGAGTGTCATTTAAAAGAGAAAACAACACAATGCGAAGAACTGTAATGCTCTTACCTAACATGGGGCTATTTCAAATATGATTTGAATGCTTATCATCGATTCTTTTTCGTTTTGCACAGTCGTTACATTGTAGAACGTTGAACAGTTCAAATTTCATTCAATCAAGGTAAAATATAATTGATGAATAAATATATATTATCATAAGTTCATCAACAGTTGAATAAAATAGTTTACACAAAATATGCTTTTTAACGAATTTCAAGTAAAAAGAATAATATTGCTAATTAAACCCATTCAATAGGCATTAGCTTCAATAATTAATTTATAATGTATAAAATCTTCCATTTAACGACAACCAAATTATGTCGTCATTCTGTTCATATTTCAGCTTGATAGAACAAATATTACTTATCATATGTTCATCAACAGTTAAATAAAATAGTTTATAAAAACTATGCTTTTTATCGAATTTCAAGTAAAAAGAATAATATTGCTAATAAAACATTCAATAAGCATTAGCTTCAATAAATAAGATTAAAATGTATAAGATTTTCCATTTAACGAAACGCAAATTATGTCATCATTCTATACTGCTATGAATGTACATTGTGATGGAAAGGATGGATAGCAGTCATTGATTCTTGTACATGTACAGTTGTCCAAAAAAATCGCAATATGCAATAAAGATGTGCTTGCCTTCTATATTTAATTAATACTTTAAATAATACGCAGATTGCTGTCAATGAATGGGAGGTACAATTTTCAAAGCTTCTTCATTGAGTATTGGAATTACTAAAGGGAACATGAGAATGTTTATTCAACAGTTACATTTAAAGAGCCGATATGTTGGATTTTGTCAGAAGTGTATTGCATACCATATTTGAAGAAAATTTGTTGCATACGCTACTTAATCACAACTCCACGCGAGGTTTCTATTTTACATATCACAATAAATTAATTGTTATATGTTACTATATCTGTCTTTTTATCAATAAACATAGAAACGAAGGTTTATATATTGAAATACGAAAATACTCGTCTGATTGGTAAATTTACCGCTTGTGTTCTATTGCAAATCATGACGGGTAGTGCATGCACAGCAGTAGAATCCTACCTTATCGACACATCCGTTCTCTTTCTGTTAGGAATTCCTGCGATTTCCCCAATTATTTTTGTATCTTTATCTTTATTCCAGTGCTTGTGTAACCTGCTATAATTTATAAGATAGGGGATTGCTGCTTACATGGAATATATTGTATCAAGGGGCCCTAGTTTTAAAGTTGAGGTCATCATATTTAAAGTTTTATGGACGACATCATGGGTTAGTTGATCGTTATCGCGTATCAATTTTACAAAAAATCACAATCCCGCCTGCTTCTCCTCGTTTGATAAATAAGCGAATGAGACTTATCTCCGAATTGAATAAAACGACAGGTGCCACGTGTGGATCAGGTTCTATTTACCCTTTCGGAATACATGAAATCGAAGGTGATATATCATGGTCCTAAGTTCAGAGAACCCCAAAACTTCCATTGGAACCAGAACTTCAAAATAATTATGGATTCCATTGAGGACTCCGCCAGACCTGGGGTCAATTACATGCCAAAGTAATTAATTACATTTCAATTACACTGATTTTTAAATGTAATTAATTACATCACAATTACATTGATTTTCAAATGTAATTAATTACATTGCAATTACATTACCAATGTAATTAATTACAATTCAATTACTTTTGGCCAATGACATGTCAGAGCTATATCATATAGGATAAAATCAAAAAAATGACAACACGCTAGAATAAAACTTCCAAACATGGACTATTTAACAGTGAAAATATTTGTACAAGCTTCTTTTCAATACTGATTATTTTATTACATTTCTTATTTTTATGGAAACATTTTTTTTGATAAAATTATATATCATATAGATACAAATTGAATATATTTTTCTTAAATATGTTTTTCTTAAAATTTCAAGTTTCTACTAAAAATGTAAACTGAGATTTTTTTTTAAAGTTTTCTTATTTACCTCATCATGATATGTGAGTCACAAAATTTAAGGTAACTTTCAAACTTCCATTTTTTACAGAAGAGCAATGATAGCATTTTGCTTTTATTTCATTTCCAAACTTGTCTTTTATGTAGTCAAAATTGTCAAGTATATTGGACTCCATTCTTGTACGTTTTTGACTGCCATATTTAAAAAATTTCAGAAATTGTTTAAATAATATCTATCTGAACAGATTTTAACATATAAATATGATGGTTATGGTTAAAAATAAAAATTGCCTTTGGCATTTTAATCAAGGGACATTCTTATACTTTAAAATTAATTAAGTGAAAGAAATATCCTGAGGCTTAGATTATTGTTAATTGTTAGAACAACACATTTACGAATTATATGCCAATCATGTCAATAAATTGGTATTGTTTTTAATTTTTAGATTTTTATGTATGCATGTGTAAAAAAATATTAATGAACTAAATACAAATATTAAAGATTATATTAATGCTCTAATGGTTGATGAAGTATTACAATGTATTAGGAATGTTTAATATTTTTTCAACACATTAAAATGTTTTTAAAGTTTAAAAAAAGTACTAAGTGCAATCTAATTGTAGAAAAAATACAATTTAAAAGTGCATGATGTGTGATTGCGTCAGAAAAGCCAAAAATGTTTAAAATGTCCCAGCAAATATCTGAATGTAATTGAAAGTAATTGAAATGTGATTCATAATTACATGGCAAAAGGCAATGTAATTAATTACTTTCAATTACATGTAATTGAAAATATGTTCAATTACACATTACATTGAATTACTTTTAAAATTGTACAACTAATTGCAATTACATTTTTAATTACCCCAGTTCTGGACTCCGCATGAACTAAACGAGAAGAAGTAGAACTGAACACTTTGTCAAAATGGGTTAAAGCTATCAGGTCTCTGGTAAAACGTCGAATCCAAAAGTTGAAAAACTGTGTAAATAATCGACCACAGTCCGTATTCAGAAACAAAGAATCTGTGAAATGTCTATCATCTCTTCACAATAAATATTTTGTTGTTCCTACGGACAAAGCTTCAAATAATATTGTTTTTGTATGTAAATTGTACTACTACGACATGTACGAGTGTCTTGTTAAAGAATAAAGAATAAATGAGCACTCAGGTAATCCCACATCCAAAAACATATCATTTGAAAAGAATGGGATTTTGGCGAATCCTAAGTCCTTTATGGCTTCAATGAACAGTAAATCTAAGAACTTATTAAAATAAGAAGATGTGGTATAATTGCCAATGAGACAACTTTCCACCAAAGACCAATAACATAGTTAACAACTATAGGTCACCATGCGGCTTCAGCAATGAGCAAAACACATACCGCATAGTCAGCTATAAAAGGCCCCGAAATGACATATGTAAAACAATTCAAACGAGAAAACTAACGGCCTGATTTATGTAAAAAAGCGATGAACGAAATACAATATGACATTCAGCAACAAACGACAACCACTGAATTACAGGTTCCTGACTGTGGACAGGCACATACAAAATGTGGCGGGGTTTCACATGTTAGCGGGCGCCCAACCCTACCCAAACCTGGGACAGTGGTGTAAAAGTACAACATATGAACAAGCTATCAAAATTACCTTGTTTGTACTGGATACCTAAGCTTCACAAAATTCTGTACACATGACGGTACGTTGCCGGCTCATCTGCATGTTGTACAAACGAATTGTCCATAATATTAACAAAAATTATGTCCGCCGTGAAAGGAGGTCTTCAGAAATACTGTGAACCAGTTTACTCGCGTATTGCTATTTACCATATGCGGATTCTAAAATACCCATAAGAACTTCTTGATACTTTTATATCTCGATCTTTCTCTAAAATTATTTCTATCAAAATCTTTATACCACCATTCCCAAATCATCTAAAAGAAATAATCCACAAAGTGAACAAAAAGGTGAAACATAATACACGGTGTAACAAGTGATCAGTATGCTGGAGTTTCTTATTCATGTTATTTACAACATATTTGTTGAATTTGGAGGTAGACTTTTTTGAAAAAATTGTCGGCATTCCTATGGGAACAAACTGTGCGCCTCTCCTTGCCGACCTCTTCTTATTTTCATAGTCGGAGTTCCTTCAGACACTTGTCAAAAATAGGAAGATCAAAGAAGCCAGATTATTTGATTTCACATTCAGATATATTGATGATGTTCTTTCCATTAACAATCCAATCTTTTCTAATCGGTTTCCATTAACATGATTGATATATCCTCCAGAACTAGAAATTAAAGAAACAACAGAAACGGCTTCCTCTGGCTCATTTTAAGACTTATACCTTGAATTTGACATAAGCGCTCATCTCAGTACCAGAATCTATGACAAACGAGACGATTTCAATTTTGAAAATATAAATTTCCCCCACCATAGCAGCAATAGACTTTATAAAACTTCACCAGTGTCTGAGCAGAAAGTTGATGAACCAGGGTTATGTCAAAGAACGTCTCGTCCTTTTTCTACAAAAAAATTCATCGGAATATCCCAAGACCTTGTTGATAAATATTCCGTATCAACTTCACAAATAATACATGATGGTCTTGAAGTATAGACTCTAGGTACTGACGTTGTTTATCATGTTAATTGTGTTTTACAATATTGT